CAGTTTTAATGCCAAATAATCATAATTATAATATATTTTCTCACACTAGCAGTATTCATTTGGACCTGGGCTTGGGGGTGAATGGAGTGACCATAAGCTATTATATTCCTAGATATTATCCTTGAGAGTTGCTGTGGCCTAAAATGTCATCATCCTATGGATGGCTTGGTGATGAACCTCTCTGACCTTGACAGGTATTAAGATAATAGGCATACATACAGTCTGTCACTGACCCATATCCAGACTTTCTAGCTGGGTAGGACCAGCAAAAGTTCGCAAGCACATGTACATACACAGATACATACATATGTACATGTACACACATACACATGTACATACATACATGTACACATACACTTTAGCCTTCGAAGATAGCATATTATTTTCAAAAGAATAGATAATCAAGAATTGATTGGGTCCTTTTTACATCATACAAGAATTAAGATGTGGGACAGCTCAATGTGAACTGGAATAAGTCAGTAAGTCTCTTTCTGTCTGTTCCCATTGCCACCACCCAAATCTATTTCCTCAGCATTGTCCTCATCACTCTCATTCCCCTCCCACTGGAACCTTGGACTCTGAATAGATGAGTTTTCACCTTATCTGTTCCACAACCAATCTATATCACTTCCTAGCCATTTCCCAATCATGCCATGGTACCATCCTTTGCCTTTTCCATGTTGTCTTTCCCACTAGAACATAATGTCTCTAAGGGAAGGGGCTGTCTTTTTTTTGTACAATTATCCCTTCCACATTGTAAGGGGATAGGGACATGGTGCCCCCACAATCTGGAAAATCTGCATAAAATTTTTTCCCTGCCTTCATACCAGAGAAGAAGTCTGAATTTTTTCTTTTTCTTTTATGGGGTATTTACAGTACCTTATCATAAAATTTGAGTATTGTTATAGTATTAAATGATAAAACACATTGATATTATATAATACTATACATATATTTTACGCATTTCTAAGTTTCTAAACTTTTTCTGCGTCACCCACTAGCCTTCAAGTATCATCTGCAGCTTCTGCAAACTCCCTAAAGATTCCTATTTAATTTCTTATGCCGACCCGCAATGTATCGAAACCACCATGGGAAAAGTCATGATGTGGAAAGGATAACTATATCTGAATTCTTAGCACTTAACATAGTACCTTACACACAGTAAACTCTTGATAAATGCTTTATCATCATCATCATCTCACTCCTGCACTAGTCTCCTACCTAACTTTCTTCTCTTTAACCTCTTCCCCCTACCCAATCCATCTTGTACACTGCTTTCAAACTAATTTTTCTTTGAAACCACTTTTACTGTGTCACTCACAAGATCATAAGAACTGGAAGGAACTTTAGAGATGATCTAGTCCAGTCCTTCTTAAACTGGGGAGGAGGGGGTGTGAAAAATGCGGCAATAGTATAAGGTTTCTGAATGTGCAACAACCAAATAATAAATAAAAATCAAATGCATAATGAACATGAGATGTTTCTGGCAGCACTTGCCCGTGTTACATAGCACAACTTCACTGCAGCCTTGGTTATGAACACAAAGCATCCACACTTTGACTGTGTATGCCCTCAGCTCATGCAATGCCAACAAACACTGCTGAAACCCAAAAAGGGGTCAGGTCATGAGTGGGCCCTAGTCTAGTCCATCCCACTCATTTTACAAACAAGAAAGTCCCTTCTCAAGTACTTTCAATGGCTCCTCATTTCCTACTACATTGAATCAAAATATCTTTACTTAGAAAGAAGGTCCTCCTTATAGTGACCTTACCTGCCTTTACAACCTATCTCCCAACACAAGCCTCTCATTCCAATCCTCAATGCCTATCAAACATTTCTCTTTCTAGTCCTTGACTCATAGTTTCCCCAGATTCTATCCAATAGGAATGGCAAGTTCCTCCACATCTCTTTGTCCAGCGTGTCCTCCCCCTAGCCCCTGCCCCAAAAGACTCTCCTTCCTCATGTAACTGCTTGAAGTCTCTGGTGCCTTGTGATGAAATACTAGTGGGCTCTAAGAAATGATGAACTGGTTGATTATTGAAAAATGGAAAGACTTGCACGAAATAATGAAAAGTGAAGTGAGCAGAACCAAAAGAACATTGTTTACAGTAATAACAATATCGTTTGAAGAATAATTATGAACAACCAAGTTATTCTGAGTACTATAAATACTCAAATCAACTATGAAAGACCTATGAAGGAAGATGCTATCCACCTCCAAAGAAAGAACTGATAAATAGAAGTACATATAGTATGGTTTTACATATATTTGTAAATCTGTGTCAAATGGTGATTTTGTCTAGTTTGAGGTGGGGAAGGAGGGAGATAAATTGGAACTTAAAATGTAATAAAAATAAATAAATTGAAATTTAAAAAAAAAGAAATTTCTAGTGTGCTATTTAAGGCTTAGTTCAAGTGCCACCTCCTACATAAGGCCTTTTCTAATCCCACTCTCCAATTGTTAGTCCTTTCAACTCGCACCCCATTCCCCTGAAATAACTTTGCATCTTAAATATTTAATTATCTATGTACATACTGTTTTCCTACAGCAAAATATAAGCCTTTTGAGGGCAGAGACTATTCTAGCTTTGTATTCTCAGTACCTAGCATGGAACCTGGAAAACAGTAGGCACTTAATAAACACAAATTGAATTTTTTAAAGAATACTTTCAATGTTTTTTTAAATGCTTTATATATTATCAGAACACAATGAGATGAAGAAGGTCAACCAATTATAGAGAACTAGAGCCAGGAAAAGAGGCTGGACCACATGATCTCCCAAAAGATCCTTCCACCTCAATGAGCCTATGACTAAGGGCAAGAAAGTCAAATAATATTAACAAAACTAAAGTGACACAGGTTAGCTGCTTCCCATTCCAAACCTCTGAGTATCTCCGTATCATGAACAAGTATCCCAGCTAGTCACCCAAATGGTAAACAAGTGGTATTCCAGTTGAATATGCCTCCATATGCCAGGCCTCAGGCAACACATCTGAAGTGTGTGGGGTTCTCTGACCCCAAATTCCCAAGTTCCCTAGTCACAGGACATAATAATAACACTTTGCATTTGTGGAGCAAGGTATTGTCTGAGGCACATAGGAGGTGAAATGACTTTCCCAGAGTCACAAAGCAAATTAAAAAAAATCAGAGGTAGCATTTGAACCCAGATGAGGAATTCAAATTAATTCTATTTTGTAATTGGTTCTATACTGTATTTATTTGGCACTGTAATTGATTCTTTATCTACTTAAGTCCTCTTCCTATGGCCTTGAGTTGAGCTCAGGAATTTAGCTTTCTAAGTTAGTTTAAAGCTATAATCAATGGGGAAAACTGTTATCTACCATACCTTCAGCTTCTGGGAAAATTTTAGGACATATGTTTGTTATCTTTGAGCCCCACAAGTTAACTTGGTACTATCCTCCCCAAAATATATCATCTGAACTTGCCTGTCTTTGTGCAATTAGGAGAGTTTTATGACTTCCAAAGAGACAGCAAGTCTAATAATTTTTGATCCCCTAGCAAAGATTATAAGTTGCAGATGGGTCCCATAAAACAATTAAGATTCCTTAATTTTCAGAGAGGGATGGTTACTAGCCCCATATGGGTGCCAGCCCACTTTCCTTGATATAACCAATCATGTTGTCCCCACCACCATGATACTGTCTACCATGTAACCAATTGCATTGTCTTCCCTACCTACTCAACTCTGTTCTTTGTTCTTTTGTACTTCCCAAAACTATACAAAGACTAGTTGTGGTCTTTTGGTCATTGAGAGGGACCATTAACCCAATTTATTGGTTATTACTAGTCTAATTAATAAATTGATGCTTGGAAGCTTGTCTCTCAGTTTACCTTAATTTTCAAATGTGACACAACTCTTCCTGACTCCCACTCTATTAATTCCCCCATGCAACTCTTGGGAAAATACTAATATCTCCACTTTATAGATAAAGAAAGCTCAGAGAGTTTAAATGACTTGCCCACAAGGTAGCTAAGTAATACAGTGGAGAGAACATTTGTCCTGGAGTCAGGAAGACTCTCTAACTGTGTGATCTATCATTTAACCTCTGTTTGCCTCAGTTTCCTCAACTGTAAAATGAGAATAATGATGGCACCTACCTACCAGAATTATTGTGAAAATCAAATGAGATAATATCTGTAAAGCACTTACCACATTACCTGGTATACAATAGGGACTTAACAAATACTTATTTTCTTCCTTTCCTTCCTCCCTTCCTCTTTCTTCCCTCTTTTTCTCCCTCCTTCCTTCCTTCCCTCACTCTTTCCTTCCTTCCTTTCTCCTTCCTTCTTTCATCCTCCCTTCCTTCTTCACTTACTTCCTTCCCACAGTCATACAACTAGTAAATGTTAGTGCGTGTATTCAACCCCAGGTCTCCTCTATCCAAGTCCAATATTTTTTCCATTAAATCACATTGAATCTCAGTAAACCAACCCTTTAAAGCACTGGGACTTTCATACCCTCACAAATGAGCTGACAAATTGCCCTGGGCATGCCTGAAGGACTCAGGGTCAAAATAATGTTCACTTATAGCCTTTCCATGGAATATTGTTCCAATTATGGGAAACATACCAAAACGGAGAACAGAAAACCTCCTCTCCCTGTCTCCACCCACTCATTTGACTACCATTCAGATCTTATTCTCCTCTTTATAGCACCCCTTGCTAAATGTTTTTCAAGTTATCCTCCCTGTCATGAGCAGTGCTCATGACAAAAGTTGAGGCTCTCCTCCCTGGAATGAGGAGCGATGTCCTTGCTGAGGAAGTAGAAAAAGCACTGGCTCTGGAGTCAAAAGAGCTGGGTTCTAAGGCTGCCTCTGATGCTTACTATCTGTGTGACCTCCTCTTGCATTCTGTTTCCTCAGATATAAAATGAGGAGGGTGGACGAGGTGGCCCTGAAGTCCTTTCGAGCTCTAACTTCATGATCTTACGGAGTATTTTCTGTAATTGCCTTTCCTTCTGTGTAAAGCCCCTGACTTACCCGTCCTCTGGTCCTGTTCTTTCGTTTTGGAGTATCTTCTTCTAAATCCTCCTCTTCATTCACTTCTTCTATGTTTTCATCATTTTCCAGAACCCTCTGAAATTACAGAAAGAGAGTGGGAAGGTTTGAAGAGGGAATAGCCAAGAAAAGAGGGAAAAAAGAAGAAGGGGAAAAGAATTCAACCAATCAGATTTTTTATAATTATTATTATGACAGAGAGAGTTTAAATGAAAGCAATGTTAGCGATGCCTGGAAGACAGAAGTGCTGCCCATGGATTTGGCAACTTGGCTATATGCGTATTTTCTCACCACCACCAACCTCCTTTAACTTAAACATTCTAAAACCATCAAACTTTAGCTTTTTCTCAAGAAGGGATTCCTTTAAAAAAAACTGGCGTTAAAGAAATCCAAGTAATCAATAGCTATATTTTAAAAGATTGAAATCACTGATAATTAGGAAAATTAACTTTAAAACAATTCTGAGATTCTACCTCATGCCTGTCAGATTGGCAAAGATGACAAAAAAAGAAAAATAACTATTGTTGGAGGGGCTGAAGAAAGACAGGCAATGGAGAACCATTGGTATAACTAATTGGTTCATTCCTCCTGAAAAGCAACTTGGAACTCAACTGTGTACACACTTTGAACCAACTATTTCCACTTCTAGATACCAAAGAGATCAAAGAAAGAGGGAAAAGACCCATATGTACGGAAATACAGCTGTGTCTCAATTAGTATATATAAAGAATCCCCCTGAAGTAATCATGTTATGAGAATTCACATTGCATATTTCTGTTGAGCTGGAAGTAAATGCCATGGTTTACATAATCATGACTTTGAATACTGTACATTTGAATACATATGATTACTTTATGGAATTCATTATTTGCACAAACCAGGATCTAGCTGTTATTATATAACAACACTTTTTGTTTAGCAAAGAACTGGAAACAAAGGGGATGCCCATCACTTGAGAAATGGCTAAACTAATTATGGTATATAGATGTAACAGAATAATATGCCATAAGAAATGATGAAAGAGAGTTGCAGACAAACTTGGCAAGATTTGTATGAATTGATACAGAGTGAAATAAACAGAATTAGTAGAATGGTTTATTCATTAACAATAACACTATGAAGAAAAACAACATGGAAAGACCAGATTTGATCAATGCAATGTTACAACTCCAATGAACCAATGAGAAAGCATGCTACTCACCTCCTGACAGAGGAGTGATAGACTTGGGGTGCATCACTAGACATACATTTTTGATATGTTGTAACTCAGAGTTCAAACCTAAGCATTTGTATAAGACTCTCCTCATTGGTGGAAAAAACAATGACTCAATGTTCCATACCTGCATCTGGGCAGAGTTGGTGAGAGCTTGGGAAAAGAGAAACCCTTTTTCTGGCTTTTGGCTTTAAGAGGGGACATACATAGCTCCAGACTCTCTTCAGAGGGAGGCCTCAGGAAGGAAAGGAAGACTCTGGGAAAAAGCTCACATGTAAAGCAGTTAACATATCCCTAGTTCCAGTTAACTCCACACTAGAGACTTCTGGGTCTTTCCTCTTGGGTGGGATCAGGCACTCTCTTAGTTGATCTGTGATATCATAGGATGAATGGGAAAAGCCATTCACTCGGTGCATTGTCTGATATGTTCTAATCTATACAATTTGTCTGGTTTCTGTTTGAAACTGGCTTAGATAAATGTGTTTCTTTGTGATTCACTATTTTCGATAGTCTTTGTATAACTAGTATCTGGTGAGAAAGGAGTCAAGCCTTCAGATATAGCTTGGGACACACACTCCTTCCCCATTAAGAGAGAGCAATCTAGTGAGTATCTTAAACTTAAAAAAAATTATTTCCCTTAGCCTACAAATATTTAGCTTGGGGGAGAGGGGGCAGGAAACAAGTATGGGCAATGCACAGAGATAAAATTCTAGTCTGGTATCCTCTCTGTGAGAAGAACAAAGTGGTCCAGCCCCATGACTTGATCTGTTATTCCCCTCCTGGCCAAATTAAAGTCTCCCTTGGAGAGGGGCGGATAAGATTTCAGAAACGTCTATTCATACCTCCCTGCAAGCAATATTTAGACAGATCCACATAGACATTCATATATCTATATGAGCAACAAGTACACACTTATTATGGTAAATGTGAAGGTTTTGTTTTACTTGACTAAGTTTATTTTTCATTAGTTTTTTTCTACTAATTATCATTTTTTTTCTCTTAATACCACAGCAGCAACCCCACACCCCCAAAAAAGCAAAATCCTTGTAACAAATATGCGTAGTCAAGCAAAACTAATTCTGGCATCGGCCATGTAAGTATATGTCTTATTCTTCATCCTGAGTTCATCACCTCTCTGTCAGGAGATGGGTAGCATTCTTCATCATTAGTCCTCTAAAATCTTAAGTCTTTCAGGGTTGTTCACTTATGGCAAGGAGGAAGAGGAGCCTTGTGGAAGAGTATCTATTGATAGGACTGCCCAAACGAGAAAAAAAGGGTCATTGAAGCATTTTTTTAATACATAGAAGAGAACTGAAGGAAGATCAGAAGAAATCCCACACAAGCAGGACAGTTTTGAAAGCAACTTGTTGAATGTATTATTTTTTAAATAAAAGAAGAGGAATTTGTATGTAATATTTATGTTTTCACATATAATCATCTTCTGTTCGACTTTGTACATGGAAATATTCTCTTTTCTGGTATTCATTAAATTCAAGATAATAAATAAGTAATTTTAGATGACCCAACAAAGCTCTCTCTACATCCATCTAAGAGGTTTCACTAAAGCTTTTTAAAAAGCATAACTGTTCCTTTTACTCTTCTTGAATTGTCCTCTTAGAAACATGAAAATGTCATTTCTCTTCTACCCCTACCATTCTGGAACTTTGCTGTGTTTGAGGAAAACAAGTAACTTCCTATTTGCCTGATCAGGTCAATGTTAACATAATCTATTGTTGTGTAAGCATAATAAATTCTTATCATTTAAAATTAATTACTTAGTAGTGACTGCATTTTTATTTGGCTTAATGATCATTTATTTAATTACTCTTTGAAAACAATCCTGAGAGTTTCATTAGCATTATTATTTTCATTTCACAAATGAATAAGCTGAGGGGGCATATATTTCTAACTACTTAATATCATGGATATCAGATTTTGCTGGCTGTCAGTGTCCGGTCTGTTACTTGACTTATTTGATAAGACTATGTTGGCATCTCTGTCATGCCCTTCATTCAGGCTATCTGCACCTACTAGTTAAGTGGGTATGTATTTAATTATATTTTTCAGAGTTTTTTGCATGGATTAAAAGGACATGGGACCATGATTCATGATGGGGCAAAAAAAATCAGTTAACTAGATGTCAGGAGTCCTGTGTTCTAAATGTGACTTTATCATTTACTCATTGTATAACCTTAGGTAACTTACAGCTTCATTGTGCCTCCTTTGCCATCTTAAAATGAAACTAATAATATCATCTCCCTCCATATAAGTCCTACTCCAATGCCCCATCACAGCATGGAGAAGACCCTGGGATTTCAAAAGTTATGCCCAATGAATATTGGTCTTGTAGGCTGTGCCAAGCCTCTAAGGCTTGCAGTAAGGGACTGGTGATGAACTGTAGATTCAATGTGTCATCAGTCAAAGGTTTAGCCACTAGATGATGGATTTCTTTTGACTATAGAAATTTATGATACTATCTATGAAGGAATGGAGGAATTACAATTTTTATCAATAGAAGAAATGCCCACACTGATAAAAAAAAATTACTAATTTTTAAAGGATTGGAATAGTCTCCAGTCTCACCAGATTATTGCACGGGTAAAATGGTATCATGTCTATGAAAAACACTTTGAAAAGTATCAAGTACATCATTCATGTCACTTCATTTGGCAATATTTGACACCATTTCCAAGCCTTACATACAAAGCCAGGGCCTCATGAGAGGTAATTTTAGTCTTTTCATGCCACCTTCTTGCCAAGAAAGGATGTCCTATATCCTGACCACAGTAAACAAAATCATGCTATCAATAATAAAATACCATCAATGTATATAGAATAGTCACTGGCATTTACATAGCACTTTATGGTTTATAAGGGCTGTCCTCAAAATAACTGTAGATGAGGTAAGAAGGATATTATTTTTCTTTTTTAAAGAAGAGGAAGCTGAGATTTTGAGACGTTCACAGTGACTTGCCTATGGTCATGCATCTACTTGGTCTATGAACCAAGATCTCGTGATGCCAAGTCCAGGTTTCTTTGCATGAAGATTATGTTCTTGTTATATGTATATCAAGGACAGCTAGGTGGTACAGCTAGGATAGAGTGTGAGGTCTATAGTTAGAAAGATTCATCTTCCTGAGTTCAAATCCAGCCTCAGACACTTGACACTTAACTAGCTGTGTGACTCTGGGCAAGTCACTTAACCCTATTTGCCTTAGCTTCCTCATCTGTAAAATGAGCCAGAGAAGTAAATGGCAAACCACTCCAGTATCTTTGCCAAGAAAACCCCAAATGGGGTCACAAAAAGTCAGACACAACTGAAAAATGGCTGTCCAACAACACATGTACATCAAATTATTCCTCCTAAGAATTCGAAGTAGTTCAGACATCCATTTCTGGCCTCTCTACTGGAATTAGCTGCATAGCCATCAGCTACCTCTCTGTCTGTCAAGCCAATGGTTCATTTTTCCTTGGCCATGAAATAGCATCCTGGCAGAGAAACAGCATGGTGAGTCTAATGGAGAAAATCTTGGCCTGGCAGTTAAGAGGTCTAGCCTCAACAACAGATTCTACACAGTAGTGATATAGCAGCAGCAGCAGCAGCAGCAGCAAAAAGCAGTAGTGGTGATGGTGGTGACGGTAGTGGTAATGGTGCTGGTGGTGAAGGGGAGTAGGAGTAGGAGCATATTAAGGCAATGATGACAAGAAGAGGACACCCCTTAAAGTCCAGATCATCTTTCATGTGAGGTATGGGGAGGAGAAAAGGGGAAAATGCCGGCCATGATGATATACAGCACCGACTCAAAAGAAAAGACTCCTAAAATCTGAAGAGAGAAAAGTTGAAGATAGAATTCATTGAAAATCT